AAAAGAATTACACACCATGACCAGGTGGGATTTATCCCAGAGATGTAAGACTCCTTCAATATATGAAGGTCAGACAATGTAATCCACCATATTAACAAGCAAAAGAAGAAAAGTCACATGATTATATTAATTGATGCAGAACAAGCATTTGACAAAACTCAACACCAATTCATGACAAAAACTCTCATAAAAGTAGGAATAGAGGGAGAACTTCCTCAATTTGTTAAAGAACATCTACAGAAGATGTATGACTAACATCCTACTTAATGGTGAAAAACTGGACACTTTCCCCCTAAGATTGAGAACAAGGCAAGGATATCTGCTCTCACTACTCTTATTCAATGTAGTATTGGAAGTTCTAGCCAGTGCAACAGGGCGAAAAAAAAAAAAAAAGAAAGAAATAAAAGGCACACAGATTGGGAAGGAAGAAATAAAACTGTCTCAATTTACAGATGATATAATTGTCCTCATAGAAAATCCCAAGGAATCTACAGAAAAAAGTCCCATATAATAAGTGAGTTTTACAAGGTTGCAGGACACAAGATCACCACATAAATCTCTTCACACAATTTCAAGGCTTATTATACAGCTACAGTAATCCAGACTGAGTGATATTGGTAGAGGAATAGATATAGATAAATGGAATGGAATGGAGAACCCAGAAATAGACCCACATAAATTCACCCAACTATTTTTTGACAAAGTTACCTTTTGTACCTTTGAATTGCAAAGGTACAAAAGCAATTCAATGGAGGAAGGATAGTCTTTTCAACAAATGGTGCTGAAGCAATTGGACATCCATAGCCCAAAAAAGAAAAAAAAAAGAAATTTAACCCAAACCTCACACCTTATACAAAAAACTAACTCAAAGTGGATCATATATTTATATGCAAAATGTAAAACTATAAAACTCTTAGAAGACAACATAGGAGAAAATATTTGAGACCTAGGACCTGGTGATGAGTTCCTAGACATGACACCAAAAGCACAATCCATAGAAGAAAAAAATTGATAAACTGGGCTTCATAAAAATTAAAACTTTTGCTCTACAAAATACCTTGTTAAGAGTATAAAAAGACAAGCTACAGACTGGGAGAAAATGTTTGCAAATCATATATCTGCCAAAGGACTCATAACAAGAATACACAAAGAACTCTCAAAACTCAATAGCAAAAAACAAACAAACACTAATAATCCAATTAGAAAATGGGTAAAGGATATAAAGAGACATTTCACTGAAGAGGATATACAGATAGCAAATAAACTTGTGGAAAGATGTTCAGTATCATTAGCCATTAGGGCAATGCATATTAAAACCACAATGAGATACCATTACATACCTATCAGAATGGCTAAAATTTAAAAAATCAGCAGAATCCTCACATTGATTTCCTGACCCATGGAATGACCCAATCACGGCAGAAAGGCCCAAGTGGCAACCCCTGGAGCTCCACCTTCCTACCAGAGTACAAATCAAAAGAAATATCACATACTTAGGGGACAATGTCAGAAATCAGTTCCATCATCAAAGATTTGAAGAATGCCAGGAAGGAAATTCCTGTCACATTCCCATTTAATTCACCAGTTTGGCCTTCACAGCAGTTGGTTGGGTCTTGCTGAATCTGGCAGTTTTAAACCAGGGCTACAAAATTCTTTGACGCTCCTCTCATTGAGAGGTGGGGTTGATGACTCCTCCCCTTGAACCTGGGTAGGCTTGTGACTGCTACAACCATACAATACAGCAGAAATGATGCTATAAGACTTTCAAGGCCAAGCCACAAAAGATTATGCAGGTTTATGCCTTCTCCACTCTAACATTTGCTTTTGAGCCTTGAGCCACCAAGTATGGAGTCTGACTACTTTGAGGCTGCCATGCTGTAAGGAAGTCCAAGCCACGTGGAGAGGCCGTGTGTAAGCAGGTGCTCCTGTCCAGTGAAACTCAGCCTTTCAGCTGAATTCTCAGCATAATCAGAATCTGTCAGCATAATAAAATGGTTGTTTAATGACACTAAGTTTGGGAATGTTTTGTTATTCAGCTGACAGATTACGCCAAGAAATTCCAACAGGGCACAGTGAGAATGTCTTCTCTCTGCTCCATAATACCTGTGGTCTTAGCTGAGATGATTCAATGGCTAGGGGTGACCAGATGGCTGAAGGCTATAATCTTATGGAAGCTTCCTCACTCGTATGCCTGTTGCCTGTACTAGGATGCCTATTCTGGCTATTTCATATGAGTGGAATCATACAATATTTGTCCCTGTGTGTCTGGCTTATTTCATTTAGCATGATGTTTTCAAGGTTCATCCATGTTGTAGCATGTATCAGTACTTCATTCTTTTTTGTGACTGAATAATATTCCATTGTATGGCTATACCACATTTTGTTTGTCCCTTCATCTGTAGATGGACATTTGGGTTGTCTCTGCCTTTTGGCTATTGTGAATAATGGTGCTATGAATATACGTGTACAAGCATCTGTTTAAACATCTATTTTCAATTTTCTTGGGTATATACACCTAGGAGTGGAATTGCTGAGTCATATGGCAACTCTATATTTAACCTTTTGAGGAACTGCCAGACTGTTTTCCCCAGAAGCTGTACCATTGTACTTGATGGTGGAGTGCTGCTGCTCATGCCTGACTTGATAACTTGGTCAGTCAAACAATACCCAGTTCATGATGTGCAGCTCTGTTCTTAAGATCATTTGTATCACATAGTCATTCAGTTTCAATAAAGGGCTAAGGCAAGTCAGGGGCTTTTCCTCCCAGCAAATTGTGTGTGTGTGTGTGTGGTGTGTGTGTGTGTGTGTGTGTGTGTGTAGGTCTTAGCTTTATTTTTATCTCAAATTCCAGAGGCCTCAGCTGTGATTCTCTTATCTAGGTTTGGAAAAGGCTCTGTGTACCATCCTAATGGGTATGCCACCTCCAGAAAGAGGCCCACTAAGCATCGTGCTTCTTTCTTAGGAGGAGTGGGTTCAAGGTACAGCAACTTGGTCTTCTCTTCTGTCTGTCTGTCTTTGCCCTTCTCATCCAAGGACAATTGTCATTGGATTTGGGGTCCACCTGATGATCTCATGTCGAGATCCTTAACTTAATTACATCTACAAAGATCCTTTTTCCAAACAAGGTCACATTCCTAGGGTCCAGGGGTTAGGACATATGTTTTGGTGACGAAGATTGGTTCTGAGCTAACATCTGTTGCCAATCTTCCTCTTTTTGTATGTGGGAGGCCGCCACAGCAGAGCTTGATGTATGTCCCCACCCAGGATCCAAACCCACGAACCCCGGGCTGCCAAAGCAGAGCTCACAAACTTAACCACTATGCCAACAGGCCAGTTGGGGGGGCTACTCTTTACTCCACTACAGATGGGAAGCCACTGAAGGGCTTTGAGCAGAGGAGGAACATTACAGTTTAATGGCTCTTTCCAGCTGCTGTGTCGAGAAGACACTACAGTTGGAAAAAGTAGAAGCAGGGGAAACAGCAGATGGCCACTGGAAAAATCTAGGAGAGCCATAATGATGGCATGGACTTCAGTGACAGCAGTGAGGGTAGTGAAAAACCATCAGATTCTGGATTTCTTTTGAAAGCAAAGCTGACAGGCTTTGCTAACAGATTGGATGAGGAGTATTGGAGAAAGATGAAGCCTATATGAGTACTATTGATGAATACCACAAAATCATTCAGCCAAATATGTACCAATGAAGCATTATAAAATAATGGGGGAAGTAATGAACTCCAGATGGATTGGTTGATACTGGCGATTTTGGTTATCTACAAAATGTCAGTTTAGATCATTATTACCTTGGCATACACCAAAATAAATTCTAGATAGAATAAAAAAGCTAAATAAGGAAAAACCAATCATCTATTTTAACCCCAGTAAAATAAAACTGAAAAATTTCTAATTTTTGGATGGCAAAGGAGGAACGGAAGAAAAGCAAAGTCATTGGAAAAGATAACGGCAAAAGATTCCATTTACAATCGCAATAAAGAATTAAGTAACTAGGGATTAATCAAGTCCACCGAGGCTAGGTTAGGAGCCCCCGCTTGAGAGAGAGAAGAGTGAGAAGAGCACCAAAGACAGAAGGGAAGAGGGCTTGAACCAACAGCTGCTACTTCCTGGCTGTCCAATACTGCAGCCACTAGCTAACTGTGACTATTGAGCTCTTGACATGGAGCCCCGTCGTGGAGTTCAAAGCGAGGTGCGCTGTAAGTGTAAAACACACACAGGAAATACTTGGTACGAAAGAAAAAGAATGTAAAATATCCCATTCATAATGGTGTATAATGGTCGTGTTGAAATGTGTTGAAATGGTAATATTTCGGATCGGTGGGTTAAATAAAATTCATTATTAAAATCATTTTCATCTTTTTCTTTTAACTTTTTTTCCACGTGGCTGCTGGAAAATTGAAAAGCCCACAAGTGGTTCGCACTCTATTCCTATCGGCCAGCGCCGCTCTAGCTGGATGGGAACTGCAAGCAGCAGAGTGCTTTCAACTTCTCTGTGCCTCGACAGCTTGATTTTTCAATCGGGACTGATCCGACACCAACCTTCAACGGTCGGCGAGAGGAAGCAACGAGCTACTGCTAACAGAGCGCTCAGCCAAGCGTCTAAGTGCCCAAGCCGGGCTTAAACGTAGCTAAGGTGTGCGAACTGCGGCCGGGGCCACGCCCACAGGCTACGGACAGCAGGGGCGGCCTGCGCATGCGCTCCCAGGCTGAGCCGCTGGGGGCGGGGACGCGGCACAACGCGCACGCGCGGTCGCACAACCTCAGGGGCCCAGCCAGCCAATGAGATTGTGCGCGCGCGCTTCGGCCTCTGACCGCCCCCCCACCCCCGCAGCCTGGC